GTAGATGAAACGTCCTCATTCTCCACACGCGGGAAGGGCAGGGGGATTTGGAAATGGAGAGGAAAGTCCCAGAGCACCGGGAACGGCACCCACCCATAGGGATATGCCTTCAGAGCCGGAGCGGCCCAGGAACGGTGCACTCGGGCAGGCGGGTCGGGCTGAGCTCTGGAAGGAGCGATGCATTTTTGCAAACACGTTTACATCTTACATGTAAACAACACATTCAGTCTGAGTGATTCAGGCAAAGCTGGCATATTGCTACTGTATTTCTTAATATGCTCTTTATCGTATAAGTAGTTTTCATGGGCTGTTTATATACAGTTTATTGCAGATACACGGAAGGCCACACTCTCACGAGCGCAAGTCAGGATGTGTGTCTGAATGGAGTTAGTCTGTGCTTTGGGTCCAGGTCAGTAGAGAGTCTCTGACAGAGCTGGGACACAGACTGCACCAGCCTCTCATCCTCACTCCCAAGGGAATTGTTGGACTGGGATTCTGTATTTCTCCATCCTGAAATTGATTAGGCTTTTATTCACTTCCAACCTTTTTGTCTGTAATAAAGTCTCCAAAACTAACTTCATGAAACCCTTATTACTGTGAGCGGGAGATATGAATTGTCCAATAAAATCACATCACCAGTATCTTTCTTTTTGAAGCTAATTCCGGATTCTGACTGAATGGTTAGGAACCTATTATCATTACCCTAAAAATGTAGTGGAAATAGCGCAAGCGAACGTTAAAGGAGCCTCAGTCCAGCCTTTCCTCTACCGCAGTGTGTCACCTCAGGTTAAGGCCTGGAGACTGTCCCGGTGAGGCCGTGAAACACCAGGCCAATCAGAAGGGTACGTCCCGAATTAATTCAGCACTACACTCAAGATGCGCCTCTTGCCAAATACAACATTTTAATGAGGGAACAATGAATGGGCCTGAAGTTAAATTAAACAGAACTTCCTCAACATACAAAGACTGTTTGAAAAAAAGTAAGTTAAACATTGTTATGGTACCCAGAACTAATATATCAGATTAATATTCATCCACAGTCCTAACTAAAGCCAGGGTATAATTTACAAACTAATCAGAAGTTTATTTTATCCAAAAATCTCATAGGGAGTGTAATTCCACCATTAATGACCCACCTACGAGTATACTCAGTGTACTGTAACCCTCAATTTTATTTTATTTTTTTAAATATAAAGGGATCTAAAATTTCAGAATAATGTTTTACTACCGTGTTTACATCATACAGTTTAAGAAAAATGTTTAAAATAACACGCACACATGTAAACACATCAAGTCACTTTTTAACCCAAGGAGTAGATTCTGTCCCCGGATCACATTTAATGTACATGAAGGTTGAAACCTCATTCTGTATGAAGCTAAAGTCTAGAGGCTACAGGCAGCCGAGAGATTTAATGTGGAAACGCGCAGATCTGACTCTGGGTAGCCGTTTGCCGTTTTGGTTCAGCCATAACAAACTGATTCAGAAACCCATGGGTCCACAAACAAGGCACTGTCTGTTCTGCCCAATGCAGGAAAACTGACAGATCCCCACCCCCCATATTGATTTAACCTTTACAGGAATGCTGAATATCCTAAAACTGAGGTTTTGACTTTGAAATATGCACAACACACCCGAGAGTTACAAGTAATAATGTGAGTGAGCGGGCAGACTGAGGGCCACAGGGAGAGTGAGAGTGTGTCTGTGTCACTTTAGAGTGTGTCTGTGTCACTTTAGATAATATGTCTGTATCACTTTAGAGTGTGTCTATATCACTTCAGAGAGTGTGTCTGTGTCACTTTAGAGAGTGTGTCTATCACTTTAGAGCATGTGTCTGTATTACATCAGAGAGTGTGTCTGTGTCACTTTAGAGAGTGTGTCTATCACTTTAGAGCATGTGTCTGTATTACATCAGAGAGTGTGTCTGTGTCACTTTAGAGAGTGTGTCTATCACTTTAGAGCATGTGTCTGTATTACATCAGAGAGTGTGTCTGTGTCACTTTAGAGAGTGTGTCTATCACTTTAGAGTGTGTTTCTGTATTACTTCAGAGAGTGTGTCTGTGTCACTTTAGAGAGTGTCTCTATCAATTCAGAGAGGTTCTATCACTTCAGAGAGTGTGTCTGTGTCACGTCAGAGAGTGTGTGTGTGTCACTTTAGAGTGTGTCTATATCACTTCAGAGAGTGTGTCTGTCACTTTAGAGTGTGTGTCTGTATTACTTCAGAGAGTGTGTCTGTGTCACTTTTCAATGTGCTTTTCAGCCGCTCACATAGCCAGACTCTTTCAGACTGTGTTTTTGTGTAAGTGCCCAAAATGCACTTTATCTGTGACACCTCATAAAAGAAAAAAGGGGGAGTGGCCAAGGGGGGGGGGGGGGTTTACTTCCAAATAATATTCCTGAGCCCTACAGTATATACCTAAAAGCAAAACACTTCCTTTTAACTATAACAACATATCTACACTGGGCTACTTTCCTGCTTTTAATAAAAACTAAGGACAGGGCACTTTCTATATGTGTACGCTGTAAATAATGTGTGTGACAGGTGACTTGGATCATATTCAGACACATGGAGTCTCAAATCTAAGTTTTCATGATAACCAGTGCCAAGGTGTCCGGGCTTCAGTTCACCGGGGGAGGGGCAGGCCTGCCTGTCAGAGAAAAGACTCATGTCTTATTTTTAAAGGAACTTAAAGGTTTAATGTCTGCTTAAGCCACATGAGTGCACTGTGGACATCGCTGCACATGTTGTACTATTCAACGTGAAGATTAAACTAAAATATATAATTGTTTGCAAAACTTTTTTTACAAATTCTTAAGAAATATTAGACAGAGGCACATTTTTACTTTCTAAATGGTATGCTTAATATTTGCTGTGTTTACTAGATTCATTTTCTAGAAATTACCGTTTAAGCATTGTTTTCCGCACGGTGTTTACGTGCTACGTTAACGTCTTGTGAGCGGCCGATCTGTGCATCGCACTTATCACCCTGGCCCAGCTGTTTGCACTTAGATGCGTAGCTGCAGCCTTTATCTAAAGCAGCCTATAATTTCTACTCATTTATACAACTTTCTTTAAGAGACAAAAGCAGCGTCATCTGGGTACCAGTTTGTGTGCTTAACCACAAAACTACCTGCTGCGCATATATATATATATACACACACACACACACACACACACACACACACAGATACGCTGTTACAATGTCTGTATCCACACGCACGCACACACATGTATATATAAACTCACATATATATATATATAATAAATGCTGTGAGACAGATCTGCCCTCACTCTACGAGACCAAAGCTGGGGACCTGAAATTGAACTAAAGAATAACATGGCAGGGTGCAACAAACACAAGCCCGTATTTCCCGGCAGGGCACAAAAGCAGGGTGGCGTTAGTGGGAACGGCACGCCCACGCTGTACCGCGCAGGGGATGACCTGTCAGCCTGTCACCCCCGACGCTTTTAACAAAGAGATGTTTGGTGGGACAGTGCTCAGCAAACAGGCCCTAATCACATACAGTACAAGAGAGGTAATACATACAGGTGGTTTAAATGCCTCTGAAATCACACAGGCATTGGAGAGTATGGAGGGGTGGAGAGGAGCGAGAGATCGTAGTGGTATTGTGCCGCCGATGCCTTTGAAGCCATCTTTTGTCTGTCCCCGTTGACGTGTCTGGAGGGGAACAAGGCTGGTGACTAATCCTGGGTCTTGTTATCACCCCCAGCAGTAAAACTGTCGCTTTATTGAACAGGATGCCTGTCCTGCTATTCGGCTGACAGGCTACATTATGCGGATGCAGTCCCCGCTGGAGACGCCGGGGAAAAAACCGCGCGCCCCCATGCAGGCCAGTAAATCACACCTTCTAAGTACGAAGCATATCGGGCCGCCCTCGCACAGCCACTCGGGACAGGACCGCTACGAGCCGCACAGCCACTCGGAAGCTCTGACGTCTCCGGTATCGAGCATGCTGGGAGGCGGTTTCATCCACGCGTTACGTGCGGACCGGCGTTCGGACCGCCGACCAGCAGAACCCGGCCCTCGCTAAAGGCGTCCGCTTTTCTTTTAGCAGTTGTTGACTCACTGCTTCTTGTGGGGGGGGGAGTTACAGAGACTAGTGCTTTGTTTCACTGTCTCTGCCTTTTTACTGTGTGTCTCTGAGGCTGTGGGGGGTGGGGTTGGGGGGGGGGGACGAGTCGTCTTGTCGTCGGTGCTCAGCTGGAGTCTGAGTCACTCGTCAAGGAGAAAATTAGTAATATAACATTCAAAGAAATTACATCAAAAGCAGTTTTTTATGTTACTGTCTCAAAGGACCGCAGAAGTGCTGCCTGCTAGCTTGACATTATGGCAAAGCGGGAGCTATTAATGAATGATGATATCCTTTGTTTGTAATTAAATCGCAGCAGTGAGTCATGAGCCCCAAGACAGTTTTTTAACATTCACACAACAAAATAACAAGGGCCACACAACTCAGTCTTACTCAGCTGGTATGACGGTTTGCAATCCTGCTGACAGAATACAGACTGCGAGGGCTTTTTAACCCTCCGCTGGCAACTTTCAAAAGAAAAATATTTTGAAGTAAAAATAAGGTACTTTTGCTGTGCAGCCGCTTCACAGTGTTTGGATAAAGGGAGAAAATTGAAAAAATTCAAACTGGAGACATAAATGGGGTGGGGGGGGCAGGGGGTTGTTTTTCATTTCTGTTCTTACTTTTACAGTACAGCTTTCATAAATTCAAAGTCATATCAGCCTAATTGCATTTCTCTCAGATTACGGCTTGGTCAGGGTCCTTAACGATATGGTTAAATGCAGAGGCCAACAGAGTGTACAGCCAAAGGTTGCTGGTTTGAATCCCAAAAAGACATAACCTAGTTATGACTAGACGTAAGTTACTGAGAATACCGACATCTGCAAAATAAACAATCTAGGTCATAATTCTGCATGACTTGCTATAGATAGGCTAACCTGTAATGATTAAAAATAATGAGTACTTTGCGTTTAATGAAAAAGTATCTGTAATAGGACAAGGAAAGGAAATCAGTACAAACCAAGAACTCTGGAATTACGTATATTTTACCCATATTTTACTTTGTTCAGTTTATATTTTGGATAATTGTCCACAGACATTGGACCGGATAAGTGGTTGTGAGATGGATTGACCTTTTTCACAGTGTAATTTTTTGAAAGATTTTTTTCTGAGAAAATTATTTTTACCCATAGAATCGTGTCAGTTCTGGTTCCGGAGGTCCATGTTTCTGAGATTTATGAGAAACGGCCATTTGTCTATCATTCGGGCATTTTCCCGAACACTGAGGAACGTTTTGCCTTCACACTTGTTCGCATGTGCACACGATTGCAAGTCACGCAGGGAGATTCTGATTTGCTCGTGCTCTATCATCTTGCACATGCGGCGTGACTTTCTGGTAAACAAATGCTCAATACAGGAGTCCTTCTCGGGGAAGAAATTACAGTTTGGTTAACCAGATGCTATGAGCCAGCTCATTATTTCTGTTTGTTTCCAGCGTGACGTGTCTCAACTTAACTCTCTGAAAAAGAAAAGAAAAAAAAAACAATTAAGGATCTTTTGAAAATAGAAAAAAAAAACAGATTTATTGAAGTAGTCAACATGAAGACAGGAGCTTGAACAAAGGAATCACCCAGAGGGGCAAAGGATTATTATACGACTCCTCAACAAGTCTTAAATGCACATAATTGCTGTAAACTGGCCTGGCGTTGTGATCTCCATGTGTCTGAATGTTATGCAAATTTACGTCTCTGCTTGCCTTCAGAGAATCCTGTGGCTTCGGCTGCTTCTAAAGCACGGCAGGTTAAGCCAATTTAATTAAAAACGTTTATTCTCTTATTTGTTTGCAATCTTGTGCACTTTGTCAAAGTTAGCGCCTAGCGGAAGCCTGTTCTGGAAAGCTTACAAAAATCCCAGAGCCATCCAACTGCGGAGGCCCAAACGCAAGTTGTTTAGCTACATTCTCCTGTTTAATTGTTTTCTGAATGTTTTTTTGAATAATTGGAAAATACGGCACTCAAGACATTAATTCAAACTAAAAGACACTTTTTCCAGGTTTGAGCTGACAATTTGATGGTATATCTGCGTCCCTCCCGTTTTTTGTTCTATAGTTTATAGTTGTAATAGTTGGTAATAATTTTGTAATTCATAATTTTTCCAAGGTATTTTCTATGCAGTCAGAGGGAAGATTCAGTTTTGCCACATGATTCCTTCAGGCATGAGAGGCTGGATATTAACAGACATAAATAATGGTTAATTAAGTTCATTTAGGGTGACTTTTACTGACACTGAACTAATTTTGATGACATACTAACAGAAGGAATAGCATTGTGTCATTATAGTTAGTCCTACAGGCTAACTCAGGAGCACTGCATTAACTTGGGGGTGGGGGGGGGGGGGCTGCACTGGGGCATAGGCAGAAATTTTGGGCCCCTTTACAAACTGTCACCCACCCCATTTCAGGTATAATTTCTGTATTCAAGGGCCCCTGACAGTTGCTGGGCCCCCTGAATCTGCCATGGTATCCATGCCCCTACTGTGGCCCCTGTAAAGTGCTGGGCCCCCTGAATCTGCCAGGGTATCCATGCCCCTACTGTGCCCTTGAGGCAGAGTATGGTATGATTTTGTTGGGACATTGATTATTATGAAATTATTTTGGTGGTCCAAAGTTGTCATAGAGATAATTTTGCTAATGTAATTGTGCAGAAAATGAATGATGACCGATAGATAGATAGATAGATAGATAGATAGATAGATAGATAGATAGATAGATAGATAGATAGATTTTAGAATATAGAAAAATATTTTAGAAAATAATTCCTTTAGCTCAGGGTTTCCTCAAATTCTGGAATTGTAAGAATGCTGATTGTTAAGTCCACGTAACCCAGATTCAGTGTGATTGCCAGAGTGTCTAGACAGTAGGTGCCCTGCTATGTGCAAAGCAGCACACCTCATACCTGCCTTTTCATTTGCTCGCTTAATGGGCTCTTTTGACCCAAACTCACCTCACATGCATTTGTACAGCTGTAACTTTTACCGTTTCATAGGTTAAGAACCCTGGTTAGGGGACCAAGTACCGAAGCAAACAGTCTTTGAGTTATGAGTTCATTCTAAGTTACGAGCTATGAATGTAGTCAACCACTCCTCCACCCGCTGCCCAAAACCCATTTTCTATACGCTACACCCTAAAGAATAGAGAGCACTGATTGTACAAAAATTCTATGTGAATTCTATTAGTTCTAATGAATTCTAATTGAATTGGTGCTAGTGTATAGCATCATCAGGCTTTGTATTGTGAATGAAAATGACTCAAATGAGAAACGATAAATTTCAAACCACACAGAAAAAGATTTTAGAGCAACTTTTGGCATGAATCCTGTAAAAGTAATAGGATTAGGAAGAATACAATAAAATCAAAAATATGACAAGGTTATCCGGCAGACCTGTTCTTTGTTATCCTTATAATAAAATAACTATTATTCTATGGTTTGGAGACTACCCACAGTAAACTGGAATTAGTTCTACTGATATCAGGAGTTGAAGAGTACGTCCAGGGTTATACGCTTTCATAACCCTTTTTCCACTAAGTAATTCACTTTCTCTGACTTCCCTTATTATGTTAACTATTCTGGGCTGAATACATTAGAGAAGTCCATTTTTATTTTGCACACCTTCCAAGATTTTAGTTGCCTTTTCCATTCTATCCAAATCCCGAAAGCCTGAACAAATATTCTGGGACAGTATAGAACGCGGATGACTGTGTCATGTGACCAAGCACCGTCCAATCGCGTCCATTTTTTTGGGCTTTTAATTTAACACCGCAATGCATGAACTTTCCCTTCATGCAATTCTCAGTGAAGCCTCTCTGTACTCCATATCTATATCTATAAAATCTATGTTTTTTGGGGCAGTGTTTGGCTCAGTGGGTTTGGACTCTATTCCTGTTATCGGAATGTCTGGTTTGAATACTGCTTTGAATCCCTGGATTGGCAGACTAATGCCATTGTTGAGCCCTTGAGCAAAGCCCCTAACCCCAGATTGCTACAGGGGGGCTGGATAAATAACTGGGTAACACTTTACTTGAGGGGCCACAGAAACTTAGTAACTAAGTTATCACTAAAGTATAAATTAACAACAAATAGAGTAGCTACTTCAGATCATCTATCATGATTATCAAGTAAAGCATCATTTCAATGTAAACATGCATAATGCCTCTAGTTGTCCTATAGCTATTTATGATAGGTAGATGGTCCGAAGTCTGCTAGTCTTTCTCATATAGGTGCATTATGAATATTTCAGTCAGTCAGGTCGTTTTGAGAGATAATGCTGAGCAGTCAGGTCAACTGCATTAAAATACACGGAGGAATGATGTCGTTTTGCTGAGTGTCTTTATTATTTAAGCAACTTAAGTATGGAGAGCACAGCTCCTCATTCCAAGATAAGTACTTTGCAGGGCATATTTAAAGATTAAATACTAAGATAGCTTCAAAAGACACATTCTTTTCTTTGCTCAACTGAAAATATTAAACAGTATATTAAATGGCCACTGACTGCAGCCGCGCCGTAAATCATTTTGAGAGCCTTATGCCTTAAACTTCCCTGACCCGCCGCCTCTGTAACGCCGGTTCGTCTCAGGTTAGCTGCTCCAACACGTCAGCAGTTACACCAGATCCCGTCCTCACTGGTAGACGTGACAGCGCCCTTTAGTGATGCAAGACCTTAAGCTGGACTGTTTAAACCTCACACGCGTCGTCTACTTTAATCCCATTGTCTATGACAGTCAGACGTAGGACTTAGCCTCCTCACCGCGGTATTATCCCCGTCGGCCCCATCACCTACGCGGTGGCGGCGGCGTTACCTGCTGCGTAATGGCTGCCAGGGCGCGGGATCGAGGCGCTAGCGGTTGGGGACATTTTTAAGGTCGTCTTCCAGACATCCAAGGGGTGAGTCACGTCTGATTGTCTTCAGGAGACACACAGACGCACTCTGGAAACTCTGAGACTCGTTTCCAGACCAGCATTGGGCCTGTAATGGCACCATCCTCCTCCTTCAAAGACTGGGGTGGGGGGGGGGGGGGGGGGGGAAGGGGAGGAGGCTCAGGCATTCCCTGTGACAGCAGGTGGTCTACTACCCAGGGGTGGGGAGGGGATCTACAGCCGCACACGTTTCGTTCCAACATCAGGCAAGAACGGCGACCTTTTTTAATTTTAGCCTCATATAATACGGTTCTATTTTAACTCTCCCAAAAGCCACAGGACTTCCTGCTATTTATAAGTACAAGTGATCTCAATTAGGGACCTCCACGAAGGCAGGGGGGCGGAAGGCGGCTGCGGACGAATGAGCAGCAGTGAGCGATCTCTAACACCCCCCCCCACCACCGTTTTTCCAGCCGGGCTCATTATTCTGGAAAGAGACATCATCGAGAACACATCCTGAAAAATGATTAAGGGAATATCGACTGGCACCGCATCCTCAGTGACAGTCACCGCTGTTGTGACCCTACATTACCTCTAGAGGGTGCTGGTCTTTCCACTTACCGCACACCTTGGTAAAAACAGGTTAAAAAGGCACCATAACTGTCCACACCAATGTCACCAAAGATAATAATCAAGAAAAAAATGAGAATCAAAAGTCCGGATCAAATCTCAGGTTGGTTTGCAGTCCAGAACCAACAGAACCCTGAGGATGAGTGGCTTCTCAGTGTCACCGCCCCGCACAGAGCAGAGTCTGCCAAGGGTGGAAACAAATATTTAAAACTGGAAGGCTCTTCGACGCCATTGAAACGTTTCTCACATAAAGCTATAATTAAGTGTCTTGCAAAACAGGGGACTGCGAGGTAGAGACTGAGCCAGACTCTTAAGCTGATGCCTCTTTCATTCCAACAAACTGAAAGTAAATATGAGCATCAAGATCAGACACATAACATTGGCACGTTACATAATGTCTCTCGGACTTAAATTATGTATTTTACCTTTGATGAAATATGAAGTAGATTATTTGAAGTAACTGAACATTTGTCAGCAATACTGCAGCTAAAAAGAATGCTTAACGTACATTTCCCTGCATTATAAACATTAAGTCCAGATTGTGTTTTTTGTCATGAAAGTAATAAAATACATTTTTTAATGACTGCTGTCAATAACTGGAAAGTACAGTGGTATTGCTGCTGTCTAAACTGACCTACAGTATGTGGCTGTAACAGGATGTGTCCGAATATATCAGGGGTGTCAAACTCCAAGCCTGGGGGGCTGAAGCCCTGCACATTTTTGGGTTTCCCCTCAGTTAACACACCTGATTCAACTCTTTGCACCTCCTTGTGCTAATTACCACACAGCTCTTGAGCTGCATCATTTCTGGTGAAACAGGGAAAGAACTAAGCTACACAGGGCTGCGGCCCCCCAGGACTGCAGTTTGAAACCCCTGGATTATATATGATACAAGCAATCAGTGCATCACACGTCACCAATGTGCTCCCAGCCTTGTCATGTGACCTTGCCGTCGAATCACAGATGCCAGGCCAAAATAAAACAAGTTAACATTATTTAAGATGGAACAGAGTATATGTCTAGATGTAAATGTCATCAGATTAATTCGTAATATTTGGAAATGAGAATGACCACAGTGTGAATCATTTACAAACAGCTAAGCATCTGCTTAATGTGATGAACACTCACCTACCAGAATGGGGTAATTAGAACATGCCTGTAACGTAATCAAATCATTATTTGAATTTCTACACAATAAATCATTCACTCAGCAAATCAAGCCTGGACACACCTCTGTACCAAGGTATGAACAACTGATTCTCATGTAATCTTTTAATGAAAGGTTTGATGTTATTAAAGCTTATTTTTAAAGTATCATACACCCCCACCAGAGAACGTCATGCTCAGTTGTGCCATTTGTCAAACGCATACAGAGGACAAACTGAGACACTGTCCTAACACTAAAGCCGCCAGACCCAACTGCTGTTCCGGATCCTCGGTGGTGGCGCCAACTCCGGCTCCTGTCACCCATCTGTCCCGCACAGGAAGTGCGGCTTTCATGTGAACGGGACCTGAAAGACGAGCCCCCCCTGACGGTGGCAATTACGGGGCCACTTCAGGAATTAACTGATTCCTGATGCATCGATTCATATAAGAACCAGAACCATATGCCTGAAGCACAGCCTGCCTGTTACTGGAATTAACAGTTATTACAGCGCAGCTCTCAGAGAGGACTCCGCCTGGTTTGTTTTTGCTTTTTTTAAAAAAAAGAAAAAAAAAACATTTTTCTGTACAGCGGAAAAAACTCACAGGCAGTGAAGATGCATTCTGTGTCTGTCTGAGAGCTGTGGAACATCATGGGCATGCAGTAAAAGATCCACAGTCTCAGGCAGCCAAACAAAGAGGCATTTATGAGCGACAAATATGTAAAATTGGAAGAAGTCTTCTTTAAGAACAACAAGAGAGATAACAAATTGAATATTGCCAATGAACTAAAACAATACAGCAAAAATTAGGCTGAAAGTTACAAAGTGAAATTCTTTCCAGGCCTTAGAAGACAGCATATTCACAAAGGGTGGCTTTGTCTCCTTACCAGTTCAGACAAGCTGACTCTATATCCGGCTGAAGGTTGATCATTGTAATGAGGACCAGCTCAACATCATTAATTAATAGAAATCAGCATGTGGGCTGGAAGAAGGCAGTTAAGGGAAACCCCAGGCGTGAGACAGTCTTCCTTAATACCAGAAAATCCTTTACAAAGCCCTCATTAGGCCTATTATACTATCATCGCTCGGGCTTTACCTTGGGGATTTTGCAACAATAGACACTTGACAGGTCGAAAAAAATTACAGCTAAACCGCAGATGACTTGTAAGCATGCGCTGCGTTGTCTTCAGAAGAAACGGTAACAGTGATCCTGCTCCTCTCGTGTGCTTCAGTCCTTCACAGCGTATGCGTAATAATAATATATAGATATTTAGCTTCAGGAACCCAAAAATCATGCTGCCGTTGTTCACTGTATGTCCTTATGTGTTGTAAAAACTTGAATAGCTTAGTAACCATTTGCTGCAACTAGAGAAATGAAAAGAAAAAAAAAAACAGATTAAAACAAACAGAGGAGCCTGATAACACTTGTGTTTTATTTTGGGTAAAGTGCAGGAGGATAGTCATTAGAACAAACAGGTAGTCAGATCTGCTGCAATGTGATTATTTTCTTGATTGCAACTCCAAGCAAAATTGGCCAATGACATATAATGGCATATAACTTCACACACACACACACACACACACACAAATGCCATATACAGTATATATATATATATAGCTAACTTCAAGGGGAATTATGTGAAACTGTATGGTTCCAGGTGATGTTTTATACAGCAGACTTACACTTTGGGTCCTACTCTGCTTTTTTGGAACATTACATACAGTATTTCGCTGACATGTGGTCTTGTACAGTGTGAGAAGTGTCTGTGATTCACAATGCAACAGATTTATTTGCAATCGGGTGATAAAGGTGGGGAAAAAACAGTCATAAGGTGCCTTGTAAAAGATGAATGGTTGGACACAATAAAATGGATAGTTGACAATAAAATGCAAAATGAATATAGTTATATAGAATATAGAATATAGAGTTATTTTTTTCATAAATGAATAACATGTTCTACTTGTTTTTTGTTTGTTTAGCTTTATACATGTGTTTTTTAAAGACATAGCTATAAAGTATTCAAAATTTGTGCCAGAAGAACAGAAGTGTAAACAGTTGTATTGGGCATCACAAAGTTTATCCATTTAAATTGAACTATAGTGTTTCAATATGGATTTGCTTAGACAGAACCTGAATCGTTTCTATATAATGTACTACTGATCTTGATTTTCGAAAAATCATAAATATATCTAGTATTTCAGCAGCAAAAGCGGACATGTAACTTTCCCCTTTTTTAAGCAATATGAGGGATTGCTTTCTACGGCTTTTATTTCGCTCCCACGTGCCTTGGCTTTCTCCGCTCTCTGCTTAGGCACCTTGTTCCCCAACCATCCTCTCTGCATAAGCGAAGTCACGCAAAGTCCCCCTTGAAGAGGACGGAACAGAGGCATAGAAACAGGGTCCAGGCATAGAAATAGCCCAGCTTCAACCCACTTGTCAACAAAAGCCAGCCAACATCCAAAATGGGGAACTGTATCACTTACCAAACCTAACCAAGTCTAACAAATCATCTTTAACCTTTTTTTCAACTCTATTTTGTGGTGACAATAAATTTATACGACTTCTATGTAACAAGATATACAAAATTCAGTTGCAAAATGTGCCCTTTGCCACATCTATTTTCTCTGCTCACATAAAATGAAAAAAAGGAACTATTTTTACTGAAATGCAGTTACATTATATAGTTGCACTATCCACAAACTATATCTACTGTTCAGTTTTCATAGGAGACATTGCCAAATGCACAAAACGCACATCATCGTTGGTGGATGGCCGTTTGACTTCTAAAATGGAGCCTTGCTGGGATATCGCACCACAAGCCTTTATTTACAGCCGTTTTCATTTCTGAAAATATGCTGAATCAACTAATAGTGCCATCTGTTTCAAAGGACTTTTGAAAGTCTTATCGTAATAAATGAAAATATGTTTCAAGTCAAGAGAAGGCAACGACCAAAAGAGGCAGGAAATCTACTTTTTGGGGGTCCCTTTCGTAAGTTCTGGATGTTCTAGAAACCTTCCCAGCAAATTCTGCAGTCATTACTGCGAGGGTCGTGTATTGGAGATGGCTTCCATTTCTATGGGTAGATTCACATATAATGTAATTTCCAATTTAACTCTATTATGATGTCATGGTTTGAAGTGGTAATGAGTTACAAGTCAATGCAGACACACATTAGTGAATATTAGAGAAAATAAATCAGCTTTTGTATTTGAGACACTTCACCATCTCAGGATAAGTGGGAGCTGTCTTGATGTCTGAGATTCGTACATATGATGCTTTGTGTTTCTTGGTTCTGTTTTTATATCCTGACTGGTTAAATTCTGACTTTGCACTTTGATTTAACATCGGTTTTGATCCCAGTGACCCTAGTTTTAATTTACATAAGTGGTAAACTAACATAGCATTAGTATTTATGAATCAGTATTTATTATTGCTTTCTATGAGTACATTTTCGATCATTCAAAGTCAATAATTACATGTCAAATTACAACTATATAAAGATGTTCAGATCCCATATACTTTGTATTTTTATAGAAGGTACAAACAAACCTTTTAACTAATTTGTCAATTTACCAGATATTTTAACGACCTGTTACGTTCTGCCCGTCATGTCTGCCTGACCCTCCTACCTGCTCCCTAACGTGGCCCTGATGAGTCACACCTGCTGCTTGTTACCTTGCTTAGTCTTTGTATTTAAGTAGCTGTTTGTCCCGTCAGCCCCGGTCCAGTCACTGCCGTTGCTCCTCCTGTCTGCCTGTGTCCTTCTCTGTACTCTGTACTCGCCTTTTCGTTTAGACCCCTCATGGTCTTGTTTGTTTCCCTGCTCCTGTTTAGTTCAATAAACCCCTTTTGTTTGGCAAACACTGGCGTTCGAGTCCTTTGTCTCGCACACCGCGACACAAGCATAGTGAAATAATCAGTATTTATTACTTATGTGTTTAATGTTCCCTTTTGATATGAATACACATGATTTTGTAACCAGAAAATTTGTTGTTTTTTTTTTTGTAAGCTAGCATTACTGTTCAGTTCACATACGTACTAAACTTAAATTTGTGTTGGGGAGCAGATATTCACAAAGTGTGGAGCTTATTGTTTTCAGAATTGGCAACAGAACAAGGTGTAAAATTCTCTCTTTATGACACTGTATTCGGGTGGGGGGGCGTTGCCACATTCAGCATGTGTCTGGCTATCAATCATTGCATAAGATCTGATTTCCTCTGATCTCTAGAAACCACCCCCAGATCCTGGTGCCAAGGTCCCACCAACCCACAGGTCCACTTCGCTTTCTTGCGTGTTTCTCCTTGTGTCTAAGCTGAAACAGCCATTTTTGATTTTACTTCCATGCTGCCACTTTTGTTAAACCCATCTTCATTTTCAAAGCAAAATAAAGTCCTCATGCTTATTTCCAAACTCAGTGTCAGATGGGTCTGTTTGCCATCCCATTGCATATTACAGCAAAGTAATACCAGTAAATATGTAATGTCTATTATATTCTGTAATTACATGTTTTATAAACTGTAAATATGAACATGAATTAAAATCTACACAAATGTAAAATATTGTTTTAAAACATATTCCAATAATATATAACGTGTATCTATAGGGAAATACTTAACGTTAAATAATTATGTTGCACTTACTATTAAGTTAATTCATCTGAATTCTAGGGGGCGCCTTGCATTTTCAGCAGTTTATTTCATCAATAACAAAATATTTTATTTTATGGTTTTGGGCATGTTAAAGCTGGTCATTCAGTTGAATTTTCATGGTTCTCAATAAATAGAAGTGACAGGGCTTAAATAAGATTGACTTGTCAAATTATTATAGGGACGATGGTATGTAGCCCCTGAAAAAAACATTTGAACTATTATGTATATAGTAAATGTTTGAAACGTATCACATCATCATATGCATGTATCTAATGTTCTAGATCAGATAATCAAGTGTTAAATGTCTGATGCATCCATGGAGTTCCAGATGCACCGTGCACATTATTTTTGTATAGGAGTTGCTAAGTTGATCCCTATAGCCAAAACATGTTCTGGTTAATGCATTTAATACATGGAGAGTGGCATAGCTACATAAAATCAATCAAGTTCTAAAAACTCATGTATCTGCTACTTACAGATGTTTTTGATGTAACATGACAAAAACTGCTATAAAAACATTAGAAATAAAGCTGCCTGCCTTATAAATATTATTTCATTATTATGTCGTCAAATTTGTTAGCATATAAACGTTATGCTACTTTGTAGGCCTGAACTCCTATCGTTCCTAACTAAGCTGTTTAGCATATGATAATGGTGGGAGTTTGCTGCAATACACTCAGCTGATTCCTTGAGCCATTAGAAACAGCTAGTTGGCTCTGTTTCATTATGGTATGACGTAAGTGTGAACCCACAACAGTGAAAAACATAAAAGGGATAGCATTTTGAAAATTTTAATTTAATTGTTTCCAAATATCTTGGCCAGTGTAGTAAATCAAGCGAGACATAATTTTCCTCATTAGTCACCGAATACTTCTTTAATTTGAATCAACAGCAGAAACATATGTTTGCATTAACTGGCAAACCTATACCTGGGTCTAATGGGAATGGCTTTTCTCAGTGTAGTATATAATACAAAAATCAGCATGTTTGGTTAGCGTAATAGGCATCTCTTTTTTTTTCCTGGCTGATTTGAACCGTTATCTTCTGGTTCTTGTGTTTTCCGTTGCTGCCCACTTTTCAGTCAGTATTATATGCTGGCCCATAAATACACAGGAGTCTCCGTGGGTAAAAGGCTCCGCTCATATGACCCAGAGGTTTTAGGCCAAATTTCCAGGAGAGAAAGCCAGCCGTCCCAAAGCGAAAAGTACAACAGCCACGAGGCCGAAATAAAAGTTAAAAGCTATTTGGTCTTTATTTTCATATGCAGGGTCAGACAAGGGAAATGAGTCACGCATCGTTCCTCACTCAGGCACCTCTGCCCCCATTCCCAAGAAATTTTGAATTTCATTTCTAGTATATGTATTTAGAGGCAGGCAAATTAGGGGGGGGGGAGCCATTTTCCACTATTATTCTCCTCAGATGGTATCGATTCAAGTTCCGTTTGAAACGTTTCTCCAGCACAAACAGCATAATAACAGGGAAGTTCATTGGCTGCAGTCTGCGATGTTTTTTTTCACCCTCCTCTCATAGCGCTACACATTATGTCACTCCCTAAAAGACAAACAAGGATAAGGAATACCCAACGAGGGCATGTGGGTTACCCCGGCGGTGAAGGCACCGGCCTGAGACCTACTCGGATGATAGTGTCTCTGTACGAGACCCTGTCAGAAGTTCATGGACGAAAGAGTGCCTTTATTTTTTTTTTTTAACATTCTGGTATGTAAAATGAGTTCATGAAGATTCTCCTACTTTTCCAGTAAAACGGACTAGCATGCTACCCTTTATATCTAGTGGAGGTTCTCTTTCATTCATTCAAGGAAATGTTCCAGACAGAAAGGAGGGGAAAATGGTTTATTACATAAATTGGTTCTGTTGAGGCTTTCAGTAACAGTCCGGGTTTAGTGCGCTTCCGAGGGCAGTATTGATTGATATATTCTAATGCACGGTGATAATTGGCTTCAGACACCACGTGTTTGAATCTCATCAGCATAATGGATGCCTTGCGCTCGATATAAACCGCAAAACCCAGAACACAGAAAATCATAGTCTCTATAGACAAACCACATTTGGGACACAGAAAACTGCGGCTTTATTCCGGCTCATTCAACTTACCACCCGCGACTTTTCGAAACGGCTTTTTTAACCCTATACAAAACGCAGCCGTATTTGTAGGAGCAATTTAATAAGACTGCACAGCGGCTGATATGTGACTATCTAAGCGCGATTCGAAAGAAAAAAAGCAAAAACAAACCGCCATTGTAGAAATTACAAACTGTATTAAATTTTTAATGAAGTACTTTCAAAAAGAATGACACGTGATTAGTTTTAATGTATGTACTGTATCCTTTGTATTTTTACGGACTTTTAATGCACGTATCGTGTATGGGATTACAACTGTACTTAAAGATATACTCATTTCATCTAGTAAGCGACTGCCAGGGTGGCTCTACATACATTAAATAATAATTTCGGTCAGACCGACTGCAGCTCCTCCGCGGAAAGGAAGAGATATGCAAACGCTGCAGATCGCGACAGACGCCAGTCCAGAAGATTTTACGTTTTACTTTTCATTTCGCCTCCATCATTACTTCCGAAGCTGCTGAAGCGCATTTTCTTGACTTTTGAAATTTTGATCTGCATCGGCTGGGACAGACTCTCCAGTTTTTGCTTTCTCTCTCTGTCGGACTTTTTTTTTTTTTTGCTCCGCTTCGACGGGACTGCAGCCTTTTTGCTGTCGGAGAAAGAAGTTTTTCCTCCTTTTTTACTTTGATATTGGCCTTACCTGTGCTAACACAGTGTTGTGATGCGCATTCCCATAGATCCCAGCACCAGTCGGAGGTTCAGTCCCCCGTCAAGCAGCCTGCAGCCGGTCCCCGGGAAGATGAGCGATGTGAGCGCGGCGACGGGCCAACAGGACTCGGCGGTCCCTCGACTACGGCCGCACGAGAACCGCACCATGGTGGAAATCATCGCCGACCACCCCGCCGAGCTCGTCCGCACTGACAGCCCCAATTTCCTCTGCTCTGTACTACCGTCTCACTGGAGGTGCAATAAGACGCTACCCGTAGCATTTAAGGTAAGACGTTTAACATTAATGTTTTATTAATCGGCATGAATTTTATTAAGACTGGTTATTATGGGGCTTTGTCTGTCATTGTAGGTAACTGTGAAGCATTGAAACAATTATTTCTAATAACATGTAAGCTGAATTCCTTAGAATAAACTGGCATATTCATTTTTTTCTGGTGTTAGTTCTTAATATTGCTGGAAGCATTTTGCTGTAATTACTTGCCACTTAAGTACTCCGACTGGTTTGCGTGTGTGTTCAAGTTGCTGTGGTCTTGTCACATTAATTGTTGATTGCTGTGTTTTCAAGATGATAAATGATTACCTTTAATGCAAGTACGGGCACATGATGTCTCGTTTAGATTATTAATATAAAGTTGCCGTTTACCTGGCGTGTTATAACACCTGAAACCGTGAAAGACCTGCTGTTTAAACACGCATAGAATAACTTGATATGTTGTTTAAACATATAAAAACACGACAATCCTGCCTTCTGCTCATTTTCTTGTGTTTATACATATACATCTGAGCATATATCGCCAATGTTATTACTTTAAATATAGGTATAGAAACAAATGTTTACGCACTAGCCTATAAAGTGCAAAACGTTATGCCTTTTTGCAGTCTTATGAGAACTAGAAGTAAAATATGTACTATAAACACGAAGAATATTTTACTATATGAAAATGAAATATTTACTTCGAATATCTATAAGGTCTGGCGAGGTGAAACTAATTATACACGCCGAAACACATTCCACCTTCACCACATTCTTATTGTTCATTACCAAAAGAATTAGATCACTTTTATCTACGTATTTTAGGACTTTTGAGCCCTTCTGTGAATCTGTTAAATGTACGCACATATTATCAGTTTTCGTATGATGCACATGTAATTGACCTTTCCTGTTTATTATTTAGCTTTGCTGCTTTACTACATTTTTTTCTCGTTTATTTGTGCATGTATGTTTTGGTCGAAATTTACATAATGCCATAAGATATTTTTAACACTTCTTCGGAAACGGTAAATGTGAAAGTTTTATTTATATATCTGGACTTACAGTGAACGCGCACACGCGCTTAAGGACGCGCTCGGTCGCGCAGCCCACCGAAGATAATCGCTGCGGTTCTTCGCATTTTCCTCGTGTTTCTGTGTCATAAACATTCAACCAAATATGGGTTTTAAAAGTTCCTGTCTCATGACTAATCAGACCATGCTTGAATTTTTTTTTTTAAGTTGCATTTTCCTCGCAGGTTTGGTCCCGTTTGCGTTCGGGGACTTTTTGCAGCGCATTAACGGCCTTTCTCTTTGCAGGTGGTGGCCCTTGGGGAGGTCCCCGACGGGACAGTTGTAACAGTGATGGCAGGAAACGACGAGAACTACTCGGCTGAGCTTCGTAACGCTTCTGGGGTCATGAAGAATCAGGTGGCTCGATTTAATGACCTGAGGTTTGTGGGCAGGAGTGGAAGAGGTGAGTGAACACATTAAATACTCAATTACAATCATTACAATCATTTCGTTTTTAGTCGACTGTGTTTGAGATGTCGAAATTGAGAAATCTCCATTATTCCATAAAACAAAAACATAAGAATAGAAGGACTGAAAGTCAATATGATAATTGAAATTGTCTGATTTTTCTTCCTGCATTCTCATAGACAAATATATAAATTATGTACTGCACAGTATTTATGAAGTTGGCGCGACTATAACTTTTGAGAAAATATAATAATTATTTGAATCATCCATGCCCAGGAGTGATAGGGTGAATTATGACATCGTAATAGACAGGTCACATGGCGCCAGCGCGAGTTCCCTCATGTTGCGATCTATGTGCAAATCATGTCAGGCAGATCGGAAAAACAAACAGGGCCTCTATTTGCGCGTCGCGCCGGGCGAGGGAGAGTCTGGAGTGAATCTCACTTACATAACCGGGAAACCGTGGCCGCCTCTTCGGGGAATCATTTAGCCGTTTGCCAATCTTACCCAATTAATTGGTCAGACATTTTTTTTAAATAATCTTAACCTGAGGTTTAGTCATGAATTCACTTAACTCTGACTGACTGTAAACGTATTAATTGTAATTATTTAAAATGTTTCCGTCATAAACATTGTCTGTACATGGGTTTTAAAGTTATTTTCTCCTGACTAATCAGTCAGCAGAATGCCTTAAATTAAAGGGGTCTTTTGTCCATAAACGCCATCAGCTATGGATGGTACAAGGCTGTGAAACTGGAACCTAATCTCAAGGTTGTAGTAGGCCTGTCAATATGTCTTCTTTGACATATAAGACTGAGAACCAATAAAAGATTATAGCCTAGTTTCTGACAGTGTTTCTGTTCAGAGGGAATATCCCGTAAAGTCGGATGAAACGTCTGTTTCGTTTCAAAGTGAGCACATTTCAGGGAAATTAAATGCTCTATAGTCTGATATCACAGATAAATATGACACTGCCAGTCAGATTTACACAACATTAAATCACTTTTGGAATTTTATTTTTAAAATATGTGCAGTCATTTACAGTGTCTCACTGGACATAAATCTGTTTTTCAGCTGTGTATGATTTTGTTTGTGTCAGGCTGATTCCTGTCTCTATGAAGCACGACAGATTTTGCACTTTCCCTGGAACTGCTGACTTTATGACAAAAAAACCCCCCCAAAAAAAAAACATACATTTGGATCCTCAGAAAAAGCAGCCAAAATCTTTTACAGTTAATTAGACAGGGAGTGTTATAAACCCACTACTCTTCCCATAGTGGCCTTTTGAAAACACAACAGCATGTGACTTTGTGCATGAGAAGGGATGAAAACACAGCCCGCCGTCTCCCTGGACTACAGTGAAAAATAAGACCCCACCTCTGGATCATTCTACAAATGTTATGGATTATCACAGTCTGATTTTCATCATGAAGAAAATCGACAGCATACTTTTTTTTATTAGCCTTGATATTACAAGCCGCTCAAATTAGCTGGCAAACTTATGTGAGCGGTACATTGTATGTGGTCTGAGGGGATGTTCAGGGAAGTGGCGTCGGGGGAAGCAGATCCAGACGGTCCTGAGAATGATCTGTCGTACGCCGTCGTCAAGTTGACAGATAGGCCTGACCGCGCTTGTTCGTCTCTGCCGCTCCACGACTTGCAGGCAGCAGCTGTCCAGATCCCTTTCTCTTCCGGTTATTTCCGTCAATCCCAGTTCTCGCTGTTGCCGTGAAGGTGTCTGCTTCTCATCCTATTTTGACATAATTTTTCCCGCCTTCGTCGTATCAGCATCACAGCTTGAGTAAAGCCAAACTCAACCCTTGTCGTGTTACTTTAGTCACTGGATTCATGGGTTACGCTCGTGGGTGATAAACTTAAGCTAACGGGACAAGTAAATTTCGTTCTTATGTATCCACAATGTGTCATAAGGAAAGCCGTATCCCTGATTGGGGGATTAGAACAAGGATGTTCTCAGGGCATTTTATGACATGTAATATCTGCACTCTCATTGGACATATGTGATATAATTGAAACAAATATTTTAAACATTTTATGACATCTGTAAAGTGCATGTCGGGATATTTCAGAATGGGGCTCATTTTCAAAAGGTCTGACTATTTAAAGTGGGTTAACTAGCTTAGTAGTTCATGCCATGCTATTAACGTATATATTACAGACCTGAATTAGGCTTCAGGCCATTTTGAATATTACCCGCCTATAATGTTACAATTAGAGTCATACAGCCTACTTTGCTTACATTTAGGTCGTGGGGGAAAATGAATGGATTGTAAACGTTGGGCTAAAAGAACAGTGCCCCTCGCAGGGTGGATGCTGCGAAGTAAATACGCCTTAGAGGAGCACAGGCATAAATGAAAGTGTCTCACCTCTGCTGGCCTCCACAATGAAGGGTGTGCACGCTTTTCTGGCTGTCTCCTCCGGAGCGCACATGTACACACACGCTGGGCGAGAATAAAACGTATCCCTTACACAACACATACGTGTGAACGCTCACCCGTGTTTGTGTAATCCACTGCTGTCTGGAACGTGTCGTGCACTTTGCCCACGTGTCTCTCAGGCGTGTCAGTGGCACTGGGACATATATGAGGCGAGGGTTTGAGAAATCCCCCCCCCCCCCCAACTTCTGCAAGCGACATGGACGACCCTCTCTGTACGAGCGCGACTCTGCCCACTGGCTTGGCAGCGAGGGTGCGGTTTGTCAGAGGGATTATGAACCTGAGCCCATTGCCAGGGGAGTGGCATCCAGGGATCGCAGTGGGAGCCGGGCCCTGACACGTCTCCCAGTCCGGCTGCCATTCCCACTGCGCAGTCTCACGTTGTGCAATGCGGAGACGGCATTCCCGTCCACGCAGAGTCATTAAGCCGGAGACGCTCACCTTCTGTGGGGTGAATTCCAGCCTCCATCAGTTACACTCCCAGGCAACCGATTGCGGGTGCAGAGCAGTCATGGTATCATTTTGATGAATCTGCATACACAGGCTGTGGTCCGTCGGTCAAAGGCCGTCAGTGATGCTTTAGAAGCACGTTTCATTACTCGTTCCGTTTTTCATGTGCAGTGTCCTGACAACGACACAAATAAACAGTCCGTTTCTCTTGTTAATCTATTTTAGATTTAGTTATTGTTGTTATTGTTCGGTTGAGGCAGGGGTGCAGTAGGGGCATGGATACCCTGGCAGATTCAGGGGG